CCCCACTCTTGTCCCCATCAGATGGGAGAAAAGGCGGCAATGCATGTTGCCCCATTGCCCTTTTCTCCATCATATGGGGAAAATGAGGGAAAATGCGAGTAGCTACACAAAATATACTTTCCTCTCTGTGGTGGCAGAGGAAGTGTCTTGCGATACTTTTCCTCCACTTTGGGAGGAATGTTGGTGAGGCCAAGACAGCATTGTCTGATGACGCTTGGCAGGCCCCCATCCAAAAGAAGAAAAAGCAGCCAAAAAGAGGCTGCTATGAAGAGGTCCTAGTTCTAACTTTTACTGAAAATTGAGAATCATATTGGTTGTTTTAGCTTTCTCACTGTACCTAGATGCCATTGTGAAGCTAATACTGGATTATAAATACAAATAAGTGTAATATTATATAATATTATCTATTGTGCATGCATGTACACATCTCTCTCTCTCTGTGTATATATACATTATATACACACACACACGTCATAGGCACAATTAAACATATGAAAAAAAATGTTAAAATCAGCCTAAAATCACCCCTGAAAAATAATTTGAAACTACACACCATCTGAACAGTCAACCCCAATTTGAAAGAGCAAAGGCCATGTGAAATAACACAGTGATTTGCTGTTAAGCACATGATCTATCTTCACTAAGAAGCATTAAGTTTGACGAATGATGTGATACAGCAGGATGATCTATCATCCTTCAAGCAAATCTCCTCTTGATGCTCCAAGCATGCCTGTGTGACCCAGCCTATTGTGATAGATTTTCTTCTCCTTTACCAGCCCCATGTTTGTGGCAAAATCACATTCCCTCACACCATATTGGGAACAGTGAAGTACAATTCTTTAGGCTCAGCTAATGGCAAACCAGACAGAGAATCCATGTGATATAAGCATGGGCGTTAGATGTTTTATTTTTTAAAAGAAACACAGCATCTGATTTTACTGAACAGGGCATAAATGAAGACAGAACGTGTGTGGCAGTCTTGCCCTCTTGAGGTATATTATGGGTTTTGAGACATTATCATTTTAATCAGGTTCAGAATTTACCCCTGCCATTTCAACTCCTCAAATAGTGCTGATTTGGGTTTTTTTATTTTAAAAAATTAAATTACAATTTTAAGACATCTTAAATTCTATTAATAATTCTAATTTAATTGTCATCAAGTCAGCTTCAACCTATTACAGAAAAGTCACCCTATACTCAGTAGATCTGTTCAGGTTCTTACAGAGTCCAGGACATGACTTCCTTGTTTGAGTTTATCTTTCTGAAATGGAGTCTTCCTCTTTTCCTATTGTCTTCTTCATTCCCAAGCATTATCATATTTTCTTCTTGTGACATGCCCAAAGTACAACAGTCTAAGTCAGAGCTTCCCAAACTGTCTGTTGCAACACATTAGTGTGCCAGCTTCAGTGTATCACGTGAACATAACTAGAAACTTCTGAGTGTATGGACCTCTTCACAAATGGTTCTAGATAGATAGATAGGTTTTGTTGATTGGCCTATTGGCCGTATCAAAACATTTAACACATAACACATTTAACACATAACACATTTAACACATAGTCATACAACATACAACCCTCGGTATAAGAGAGGTTAAAATAAAAGAGGTTAAAATAAACAAACTGTTGGCAGATCCCGTTCAGGTCAAATATCTGTGTCACCTCCACAGTTTACCCCAATTGATTCTAAATGTGCAATTCTCAGCTGTGTTGCTTTGAATAGAAAAAGGGCTGTTTTGTGTTATTTTAGGATTCTGGCCGGCCAACAAAAATGAGGTTTTAATATGTGGATCCCAGTGTGTTTTGTGAATAATGTATGGTCCAAGGCAATGGTCTCTCTCTTTCTTATACAGCCCACAGTTGAACAGAACATGTGTGATATCCTCCACCTCTGATGCTCCGCAAATACAAACTCGTTCGGTGTATGGGACCTGATTAAACCTTCCGTGCTTGACCATTGAATCCAGCTGCTCAAAACGAGCTCTGGTAAATACCCTCCTAAGGTGTTTTGGCATATCTGTTTTTAGATATCGAGCTGTTTGGAAAGTGTGTTTAAAGTGGCTTAACCATTTCAATGAGCCAGCTTTACTGAGGGTAGCAATGTCTTTTTGGCCTTCTATATCCAATACTCGTTGAGCAACTATTTTTGGGTCTAGCTCTTCTAAGAGATTCGGATACCGAGTCGGGAGTCCACAGCTCCTAATATATTTTGTCAGGAGAACTAGCCAAGAGGACTGATGTTGATTTTTTTCTGCTTCAACAGGCACAATTTTGGAAGTCTATCATTTGCCATGGCAATCAGTTTTGCCCAGTAGTTGTAGGCCCTGATTTTAGATAAGCCATCCACTGTATATACTCCCAGTTCCGCTCTTACTGCGGCAGCTGGGGTCGTCCTGTCCACTCCTAGAAAACTTCGCAGGTGCTGTGATTGTGCTTGCTCTAATAATGGTACCTGGTTTAGACCCCAAACTTCAGCTCCGTATAAGAGCATGGGAGTTACTTTTGCTTTATATACTTTAAGGAGTGGGTCTAAGGATCCTGGATGGTTGTGATTTATCAATTTAAGTAGTTGATTTGCACGTACTCTTGCCCTGACTGAGCTTTTTTGGTGGTGTGGTAGCCAAGAGCCAGTCTCAGAAAAAACAATTCCCAGATATGTGAAAGTGCAAACTTGCTCTATTGGATCACCGTCCAGGAACCATCTATGTCTATTATGTCGTTTGCCAAATACCATTATTTTTGACTTTGATTTATTAATAGTTAGAGCGTTGTTATGACAATAGAAATTAAATCTTCTCAGCAGTCTACGTAGCTCAACTTGCGAATATGATAGTAAAATCATATCGTCGGCATATAGAAGGATGTTAAAATGTGTGTTGCACAGCTTAGGCATATGTGTCTCTGGGTCCTTCAACTATAAGCTGAATAACAGTGGTGCTAATATACACCCTTGTCTGACCCCTTTGTATGTTTCTATACTGTTTGTCATGGCTCCTTGCATCCCAAATCGCACTTTCACGTAGGTGCTTGTGTAGAGTGCTTTGATTAGTGCCAGCAGTCTGGGTTCCATATTGAGATCAGTTAGTTTCTTCCATAACGTCTCTCTATTTACAGTATCAAATGCTGCACTAAGATCTATAAAGGCAGCGTACAGTTGTTTCCCTCTGCTGACATATTTTGCAGTTGTATGATTTAAAACAAAGCAATTGACAATAGTTGATCTACTCTGTCTGAAGCCAGCCTGTTCTTCATCGAGGATATGTTTTTCTTTTTCCCAACATTCAGCTCTGTTCAGAAGATATCTAGCATATATCTTGGCCACAATATCAATTAGGCTAATTGGCCTGTAGGAACCAGGGTCTTTTTTGTTCCCTTTTTTGTAAACAGGGACAACTATTGCCATCTTCCATCCAGCTGGGATCTGGCAGGTGTTATTTATGTGTGTAAATAAGCCTGCTAACAGGGGGGCCCACCAATCTAGGTGTGTTTTAAATAACTCAGCAGGTAAGTAATCTTCCCCTGGGGCTTTATTGGTCTTCAGGTTGTTTATAATACGTCTGATCTCACCTTCTGTTACTGATGGCCAGAGGGGAAGGGCTTTTATTGATAAGTCTTTACCTGGTGACTGTGTCTCTATAAGTTCTGTGGGAGCAAACAAGTGGGAATGGTTCTATTTCTCTGGCAGTTGCCCATCATATGGCATGACAAGGAACATTGGCGCCTGGTCCCTGTCCTCATCAGTTGGGTGAAAGGGCAGTGATGCATATTGCTCCATTGCCCTTTACCCTCCATCATATGGGGAAAAGGAGAGGAAAATGTGGGTAGTTCCATTGATGCTACCCAAAAAACACTTTCCACTCCATCGTGGCAGAAGAAATGTCTTATGACACTTCCCTTCCACTTCAGGAGGAATGTGGGCAGGGCCAGCCAGCGTCATCTGATGATGCTCGGCAGGCCCCATCCAAAAGAAGAAAAAGCCCCCCCCCCCAAAAAAAAATCCTGTGTGAAGAAGTCCCACATGAAATAAGCAATAGATCATATATTTAAAAAAAATAAATGAAAGGTTTTCACGACACATGTTGAGTCCCTATACATGTTATTACAGGTTATGTATTTGTTCATATCGCTTATAAGAGGTAAATTTAACCTCCGGTTTGCTAGTAAAATCAAATTACTGTGTTGCAAAATGACATGCCAGTATGTCTAAAAAGTGTGTCACTAATATAAATGTTTGAAAAGTTCTGATCTTAATGCTTCTAGGAAACGTCCAAGCTTGATTTTCTCTTGCAACCATATATTTGCCATTTTATTTTTCCTTACCAGCATTTTTTTCCTGTCCAACTTTCACCGCCATACATAAAAAGTGAAAATATGATGAACCATCCTAACTTTAGTATTTAATTATATATCTTCATTGCTGCCCTTACAAGTCCTAGTCTTCTGATTTCTTGACTGTATTCTCCATTCTGATTAACGATTGAACTAAACTACGGAAAATTTGAATTATTTCACTGTCCTCATTATCTACTTCAAAGTTATGTAAATCATCTGTGGCCATGTCTTTTAGAATTCTGGGAAATATAGTTTAGGACGGGACCTTTGGAATTCTTAGCTAGAGAGGTCTTGGACTTCTCTAAATTACATTTCCCAGAATTCTGAAAGTGGGAGCATCTGCTTTAAAATGCTAATGTGATATTGTATTTAGTTCGAGTAGACCTACATAAATGTTGCCTTGCCATTCAATTAAAGCTAACAGTTGGCATTTGACTCACATTCTTCAAGGTGCCATTCAGTTTTGCCTTTTAGCATCCATGTAGGTCATGTGGGAAACCACTATTTTTGGAAGTGAAATTATGCGGCTTGGCCTCATGTCCAACTTACACACCCACCTGTGTAATTGTGATAGTTCTTTTACTTCAGGCATCTTTTCTGGCACTTTTGTAGGAACACACAATCATCACATCCACATGACCATGTCATTTTGTTGTTGTTTTCAGCCTCATAGAGTTGACTCAAGGGAAAATGGCTTCCGCATGGCTGTGTGGCTTCATCTAAAGAGCACCTTAAATTCTTGCCCTTCTGCCAAGCCCAACAGGCAATAAGAAGACAATGTTTGATGGCTTGGTGAGAGAAACGGTAATACCTTCAAGGTGGCTGGGAAAGATTGCAAAGTATTTATTGAAAGAAAAGTTGTTGGTGACAAAGAAATGTAGCTATTCCTTTCAAAATTTGTGTGCCATCCAACATTGCCATTTAGCTACAGTATTCTGGGTAACATTCATCTGCAAATTCTGCCTTTGCTTAGACAACGTAGTAATTAATAATGCTGAATCAAATGCAATGCATGCTTATGAACTTTGCAGTTCTATACATTGTTCATTTGCTACAGAATAGCTGTGTGGAATCTTAAATTAATTCAACCTGTTTCATTAGGACAAAGAGAAGTGTGTTACTATGTGTACCCTCCTCCTCCAACCTAGGTGATAATTTTGCATTACATTGTCCAACGAATGAAGTTGAGCCCTCTTTTGTAAGAGAAGAAAATGAAAAAGTTGAAAATCAAATGTTTTGCTATGGGCAAGACAGGAATTCATTAGCAGGGCTGATAACTTCCTTAATATGCTGCATCAATCCAAGGTAATATTGGTGACAAATCAATTGAAAGCTATTTGACCTTATTTTTTCAGTATTTCATTGTTGTCCTAGCCAAAGGCCACAACAATAATCGGAATCTCTCGCCAAGCCATCAAACATTGCCTTCTTATTGCCTGTTTGGCTTGGTGGAAGGGCAAGAATTTGAGGTGCTCACAAAAACACTTGTGGTATACTTGAGGGGGGAGGTCTGGTCGCTGTAATATTGAAGCATGATGTTAAGTCCATGCTACTAAACTAAACTTCCCTGTTCACTAATTGTATAACACAGCTTGATGGTACCAGGATACATCCCATGACTAATTGGATCAGAAGATAGGAAGATGCCTAGTTATTGTCTATTGCAATTGGGCACAGACACCGCAATGGGAAAGCACTTCAACCTATCAGTGTTATGCTGGATGTCAGTGGTTCTCAACCTGTGGGTCCTCAGTTGTTTTGACCTTCAACCCCCAGAAATCCTAACAGCTGGTAAAATGGCTGGGATTTCTGGGAGTTGTAGGCCAAAACACCTGGGGACCCAGAGGTTGAGAACCACTGCTATATGTGCTATGCTTCATGTATTAGGCTGAAGATTTGGGAGGGTGACAGCTGTGAAGTTGCACAGAGGGAGTTCATTATAGTACTGTAGATATCTCCCTACATAATGTCCCACAGCATATATGTGCTTGTGAAACTAATCTTGTGAAACTAACTTTGCGACAAAGTTCCATTGTGATTAAGATTCTGCTCAACCCCAACAAAAAGCCTGTTTTGGATATTTTATGTTTTATTTGGTTATTTGCAGGTAGAAACCTTGCTTGCATGGGCATAGAGCATTTAACAGCAGCAAAAGTAACAACAATTGGAAGAAGAGCACACAGAAGAAGAGGCAAAGCAGCACGAACAGTAGCAACTTGTGCATTTTCTTTTGTTGGCCTCAATATAATGAGTATGCTTTGTAATAGTGTTCCATTATTATTCTCTTTTTGGCCACTGTCCATTTCTTCCTCTGTGGTTGGTCTTTCATTTGCTTCACAGAGTCTTACCTTAGTTGTGTTGTGAAGTTTACCACACAAGGCAGGTAAATTATAATTATGTAGGAACAGCAAGACGTATCACGTGGAATAATTCGTCTGCCCTTGTCTGGGGAAGGCTGTTGGAATGTGGTCTTTTACAAAAAGAAGTAATTAACATATTATTTGTGTTTGTAAAAGAAACACTTTCCAGTGGTCTTTCAGTGGGAGAGGAGTGCCATCAAGTACTTACTTACTTTACTTACTTACTTAGGCGATCCCTCGTTGGACGAGTAAGATGGTCTTCCATTATGGATTTCCTTGTGGGTCCGTATGTGGCTGTGGAGCCCTATTCTTGCTCTGCATCTTCTTCCGCAGTGAGGGCATTGGTTTCCAGGTGGAAGGCGGTCCCGGTCGGGGTTGGCTTGACGCGCCTTCCTCCTGGCACGTTTCTCTCTTTCACCCTCCACTCGTGCCTCCTCAAATTCTGCAGCACTGCTGGTCACAGCTGTCCAGCTGGAGCGCTCAAGGGCCAGGGCTTCCCAGTTCTCAGTGTCTATGCCAGAGTTTTTAAGGTTGGCTTTGAGCCCATCTTTAAATCTCTTTTCCTGTCCACCAACGTTCCGTTTTCCGTTCTTAAGTTCAGAGTAGAGCAACTGCTTTGGGAGACGGTGGTCAGGCATCCGGACAACGTGGCCGGCCCAGCGGAGTTGATGGCAGAGGACCATCGCTTCAATGCTGGTGGTCTTTGCTTCTTCCAGCACACTGAAGTTTGTCCGCTTGTCTTCCCAGGAGATTTGCAGGATTTTCCGGAGGCAGCGCTGATGGAAACGTTCCAGGAGCTGCATGTGACGTCTGTAGACAGTCCACGTCTCACAGGCATAGAGCAGGGTTGGGAGGACAATAGCTTTATAGACAAGCACCTTGGTCTCCCTACGGATGTCCCGGTCCTCAAACACTCTCTGCTTCATTCTGGAAAATGCTGCACTTGCAGAGCTCAGGCGGTGTTATATTTCGGCGTCGATGTTGACTTTGGTGGAGAGGTGGCTGCCAAGGTAGCGGAAATGATCAACATTTTCTAATGTTACACCATTAAGCTGTATCACTGGCATTGGAGAGGGGTTGGCTGGTGCCTGCTGGAAAAGCACCTTGGTTTTTTCAATGTTCAATGACAGGCCGAGCTTCTCGTACTTCTGCGAAGGTGTTTAGAGTGGCTTGTAGATCTTCTTCTGAATGTGCACAGACGACATTGTCATCAGCATACTGGAGTTCTATAACAGATGTTGTTGTAACCTTGGTTTTGGCTTTCAGTCTGCTGAGGTTGAATAGCTTGCCATCTGTCCGATAGATTATTTCCACTCCGGTGGGAAGCTTCCCATCAACAAGGTGAAGTATCATAGCGATGAAGATGGAGAATAGAGTTGGGGCAATAACACATCCCTGTTTGACACCGGATTCCACTTTAAATGGGTCACTTTGGGAGCCACTGCTGTCCAAGACTGTTGCCATCATGTCATCATGGAGGAGCCGCAGGATGTTCACAAATTTGCTTGGGCACCCGATTTTGTGGAGGATGGTCCAGAGAGCGCTGCGATTCACTGTGTCGAATGCCTTTGCAAGGTCGATGAATGCCATGTACAGAGGTTGGTTTTGTTCCCTGCATTTTTCTTGGAGCTGTCGTGCAGTGAAGATCATGTCCACGGTTCCTCTGGAGGGGCGGAAGCCGTTCTGGGATTCTGGGAGGGTGTCTTCTGAGAGGGGCAGAAGGCGGTTTGCAAGGATTCTTGCGAGGATTTTCCCAGCAGAGGTTAGAAGGGAGATACCTCGATAGTTTCCGCAGTCTGTTCTTTCCCCTTTTTTGAAGAGGGTGATGATGGTGGCATCCTTGAAGTCTGCTGGGATTTTCTCGGTCACCCACACTTTTTCTATGAGCTGGTGGAGTTGGTGTGTCAGCTCAGGTCCTCCCTCTTTAAAGATTTCAGCAGGGATCCCGTCTGGTCCACTGGCTTTGTTATTCTTCTGTTGGCTGATGGCATTGCTGACTTCTTCCAAACTGGGCAGTGCTGCAAGCTCATCCCTGGTTTGTTGTTGTGGGATTTGTGAGAGGACCTCTTCGGCCACATTGGAGCTGCGGTTCAGGAGGCTTTGGTAGTGTTCTTTCCAACGTAATGCAATTGAGTTTTGGTCCTTCAGGAGTTTGGTTCCATCTGATGAGCGTAGAGGCTGTATGCCATGGTTTCTTGGTCCGTAGATGACCTTTGTGGCTTTGAAAAATCCCTGAGCATTATGGGTATCTGGCAGGTGTTGGATTTCTTCGGCCTTCTTTGTCCACCAGATGTTCTTGAGTTCTCTTGTCCTTCTTTGGACCTCAGCTTTTGCACTGGCATAGATCTTTTTCTTAGCAGCACAGTTGATGTCTCTCTGCCATGCTTGGAAGGCTTTCCTTTTCTTGTCAATTAGCTGTTGGATCTCGATGTCATTTTCATCAAACCAGTCTTGATGTTTCTTGGCTTGGTATCCAATAGTTTCTTCGCAGGCTTGCATGATGGAGGTCTTCAGTTTGTTCCAATGTTCCTCAACATTTTCGCGGTGTACTGTGGGTAGATGGTTCTTGAGTGCTGTTTGGAGATGGGCTCGTCTGGAGGGCTCCTGAAGGGCTTGGGTGTTCATTTTGCGCCTTGTCTTCCTTCCTTGGAGTCTGCGCTTGGGAGCGATCTTGATAGCCATCGAGGATCGAATTAGCCTGTGGTCAGTCCAGCAGTCGTCAGCACCTGTCATGGCTCTTGTGAGGAGCACGTCACGGCGGTCTCTGGCGCGTGTGATTACATAGTCTAAGAGGTGCCAATGCTTTGACCGGGGGTGCTTCCATGATGTCTTGAACTTGTTTTTCTGGCGGAAGAGCGTGTTGGTGATGACAAGGTTGTGCTCCGCACATTTGGTGAGAAGCAGGATGCCATTTGAGTTGCTGTTTCCAACCCCGTCTTTTCCTATGGTCCCTGGCCACAGGTTGAAGTCTCGCCCGACTCTTGCATTGAAGTCCCCCAGGAGGATGATTTTGTCCTCCTTAGGTATCCCCGATAGGACGGTGTCCAGCTGACAGTAGAATTTCTCCTTGATGTCTTCGTCAGCATCTAGTGTTGGTGCATAGGCACTTATGATGGTTGCCCGTTGGTTTTTGGCAAGATCGATTTGGAGGGTTGAGAGTCGTTCGTTGATGCCAGTGGGTGCTTCGGTCAGATGTTTCATCAGATCATTTCTGATGGCGAAGCCAACTCCGTGCATTCTTTGGTCTTTTCGGGCAGTCCCTTCCAGAAGAAGGTGTAGCCTCCTTTTTCTTCCTTCAGCTGTCCCTCTCCTGCTCTCCGGGTCTCCTGAAGGGCTGCTATGTCGATGTTGAAGCGTCCCAGCTCCCTTGCAATGATGGCAGTTCTGCTCAGTCGCGGATACAGCTGCCGAACTACTCAACTGCCTCGGCCTTGAGGTAGAACGACTGAGTCTGTACCCACCGCCCATGTGCCAGTCTGTGACTAGGGGCTTCCAGATTTCACAGTCCTGCCCCCGTCGCCACTCGCTGATCGCCATGGGGCTTTGGTTGGTTTGTTTTTATTTTCTTTGGAAGACGCCTGTGCGTGGGTTTTTTTAATGTGTGGAGGTCAGTGCACAACTGATCAACACACAGACTTCACAGAGTGAGGTTCCACTGGTGATGTAGTTTAACACAATGACCGTGGCTTCTCAGTCTGTTGCAGCCTTCTTCCGCCTTCGCAGCCATTGTAACATGTGCCATGTTATCCTCCGCCTGCTCCGCCGTTGAGGTCTTTGGGTCTTCGGACTGTGCTTGGTCTGGAACCTCCCCCGCAGCCACTCCTGGGAGTGCAAGACTCCAGTTGTTGTGCCTACAGGTTCATCGGAACGCGCAAGCCCCCTCACCACGACAAGGTGACAGTCCATCGAGGGGGGCCATCAAGTAATAAGTCATAGTCAAAGATGCTGTTGTCTTGCTATAATTGTGATTTCCTTGCCTTGTTTGATAAACTCTTAGCTTTCACCTGATGTTCTGGAACTCCATCATTTATATACTTCCTTTTGTTCCATGTAAAGACCAATTTGGCAAACAATTTGAGGTTTTTTTTCCCCCACACCATATTAAAATGTTAGTATCATGACAGCCTCTTGCCTTGTGCGGCTACAAAATGTCTCCATTACAGAAAAGCAGTGCCATGGTGAGAACACATTCAAACAAATTGACAAAATATCTGACTTAAATTGCCATTGATAGGATGTCATAGTTACACATTGTCATTATCTGATTCTTAGATTCTTGGATAGAAACCAAATAATTGATGGCTCCAAATGCCAGTTAGTTGGTGAAACCAAGATAATAAATTGAATTATTATTTTGTTGTTATTTCAGTCTCCATTGTGTCTGTCCTCATAGGAACTTAGCATAATATTTATTAAGACAATGTGTAGTCACATTTTTGGCAGTTATCTTAGTAAACTGGATTGGAGATCTACACAAATTTGGGTGTGAGTCTGTAAGTTTCTATATCATGCTAAGCGTCTATATAAAATAGAGCAGATAGTCTTTTCCACCAGGCCAATGAGTTTTGAAGTCCTTGTTAACATCATGTTCAAATACTAACAGCTGTCCATCCACTTCACCACATTCATTAAATACTACTGAGCCACCCACTTAAAAAATGGCAACCTACTGTGTTCTTTACATGACATAGATTTCAAGTGTAAAGTATCTTGATGTTTTAAAAGGGGTTGCAAAGGATTATCTTTTCAGATGCTTTCTAAGCTGGTTGGCAAGTGACTTTTTTTTTGCAAATTATCTGGATAGAGATGGGCAAAATGACCAATTCTGTCATGTTATGGTATTGATCATTCTCAACTTTAAAATGATATGATCATGCAATTTG